CCATAGCATTGATGCTGTCTAAAAACTATCTACTGAAGCTTTCTAACTAATAAAGGAGGGTTGGGTTGTTTTAATTATGACGCGACGGAACTGTCTATATAACCCTACTAATTGTTAGAACCGGGGCTGGTTCTCTTTGGAGACGCGCCGCTCTCTATTGTTGTGTGCACTCTTCAATAAAGAGCTTGTGTTTGGACCTTGCTGGTGTTGCCTGTCTCTTTACGGTCAGACAACGAACCGTGCCGTCTGGGTTAGAGTCCTCGACATGCACTATCCCAGTGAAGTGGGCTACCGAAAGGATCTGAGTCCTCGCTCCCACTTCCTTTACCCAGAGACCTCCCTGCCCTTGAGGACTGCCCTTCCACTCTCCTGTCTGGCAGAGTCCTCGTAACCCCGACAAGGCTGGGCCCAGGATTCCTGGGGGGCTCGACCCCCAACCCTGCTGTGGTCACCCAGGACAGGGGCTAGGGTGCTCTCTCTGCACTGGGCACCTTCCTGACCCACTGATCATTTCATACAATTTAAAGCAAATACAAGTTGTTTAATTAACAATTAATTTTAAAAAAGAATAAGGAAAAATGGGAAAGGTTAAAGAAAACACATCACCCTGCTCTGTGGCAGGGAACATCACAAACAGTGTCTCTGGAATTTCAGGGCAGTTCACAGTCTGTTTCTTGTAGGTCCCAGGCTCCTTCTCAGGCCCTGGCTGTGCTGCAGAGACGCTGCGGGTTGGACACTTGCTCTGGTGGTGGCCACATGCTCTCAGGCTCTAGGTGGCAGGACCCTTTTTCCCAGCGTCGCCCCTGCCCGGTCGGGGTAATGATCCCCCTCCAAGTCTGGCCTGCAGAGCCTCTTGGCTGAGGCGTCTCCCTGTGCGGGGCCCACTGCCCAGGGTCCCCCTCCTCTCCCCAGCTGCTCACCGCACCCAGCTCCGGACTGCTCCAGCCCCAGCCCCGCACCCAGCTCTGGACTGCTCCACTCTGCCTCAGCACAGCAGCTGCTGCTGCTCTGCCTCCAGCTCCCTAGCTGCTTGTCTGGCCCCTCTGGCTCTGGTTGCTGCAGCTCTGCTCCCTCTGGGCTGTGCTCTGGCTTTGGGGCTGCAGCTCTGCTTCCAGCAGCTTAGCTCGGGCCCCTGCTCTCTCCTTAGCTCGGCCCCACTCTGTCTGACTCAGGCCATTCCAGCTCACAAGAAGGATGGGACCCCCCCCTGGCCTCCTGACTCCCTGATTAACCTGCCCGCCCTGTCAATCAGGCTGATCTGGAGCATTGGCCTCTCCCCATTGTTCCTGGGGACTGTCAGTCTCAGGCTCCTGATTTGCCATCAACCCTTCCCCTTTTAGTGCTGGGAGCTAGCCAACCAAAACACCCCCACTGAATGTTAGTAAGGGGGCAACAGTCCCCTTACATTTGGATAATTTTGTCAATGAATCTAGTGCCAAGTGCCATAAAAAGTAGTCTGTACAAATAGATAACTTTTAAGTCAATTGAACACTACTTAGGAAGGCCTCTGAAAGTGACACTGCATATGGAAGAAGCCCAATTTGTAAATTACACCCCTTAAATATGATGGTTAAAAAAATCCTAAGTGGGTAAGATATAAAAAGCAAATAGTCTAAAAGTTAGATTTTGTCATTTGCTTTGTAACAAGTGCACGGATTTATTTATTTGTTCCTAGTTATGGAATAAGTTCCTGGTTGATTTGAGGACTTAAGCATGTGCTTCACTTTCAACACATGAGCAATTCCATTGATTTTAATGGGACTTTTCTGGACAGATGCTTAGAACATCTTAAAATAATTTAGCCCATTTTCAGGGCTTTCAATTCACATTTTCACTTTCCCTTTCACTCCTCCTACCTCTCTTCCTCCTCCAAACAGGTAAAATCCCAGAAGTTTCAAAATTAGCACTGCCTGACTTGCGCTCCCTCACAGCAATACTGAAATCAGTGGATGAGAGACAAATGCTGCAATCCTTGTGTAGGTAAAACTTCTGTGGACAACATGGAAGTTTTGCATGTGCAACAAATGCATGATTGGGTAGTAAAACAAAGAAAGAAGGCAGGAATAGTCTATGTTGTAGCATTTAGTAAGAACTAAGCAGTCATGCTGTTTGGAGAAAGCACAGCAATTTTATTAATTGCATGAGCACTCGGCTCATGCTGAGCCTGCTCAGACTTCTGAAGAAAGCTAGTTCACATGGGTCATGCTTGAAGATTGAACACAGGCATTAGTATAGTCACTCCCATACCAATAACAATGATAAATACCCTTTCAGCTGTATGTTTCACTCTGCTGCTGTAGGGCAGCTTTATTCCTCATGTTCAGAACGCCTTGCAGGGTACAGCATGGCATTCACTTAGCTGGCTCCTGGGCACCATTGCAGTTACATTTTTGCATGTTCAGGGATTTCCTTGACAGAGGCATCCCAGAGTGCACAAAAGATGAGTGCAACATTGCTTGGGGTCTATTAACAACAGTCAAACACGTTGGACCCCACAGTAGGTCTCTACTAGAAGGTATGAGCACTGGAGGTTGACCAGAGAGTCTCCTTTGCCAATCCTGAAATGTCTGACTGAGAAAACAAGAGAAGCCTTGAGCCAGCCCTGTATTTCATAAGAGCTAGTTCGTCCATCTCTACTTTCAACTTTGTTTTTCATTAATCCATAAGATCGATGCCAACAGCTCTCCAATCGTCTTCAATCAACATGATAACAGGGGCATCCATCAGCTGCTTTTAGAAAAATACCTAGGTAATGTCTGAAGTAAAATGTATGTAGCACATTAGAGATCCATGAGGAAGCACTAGCATGCAGTCTAGAGGGTAGAGTAGTTGATGGTCACCCTCCCTAGACAGCTTGTAGAAATAAGTGCTATGTGGTTTTCAGGGCAGCTCTCAATTCTTTATTGAGTTCTATAGAGTCCTGCCACAGGAGAGTGCTATTTTGATTCAAAATGTAACTAGAACTTGATAATAGTGTTAAGAAACAATGTGATTATTAAACCTACGGCAAAGCAGACCTCTCAATCCTGCTGGCCTTGCAGCAATTGCAGTGAGAGTGTGCTTGACTAAAAGCTGCATAAATACCAGATTAGCCCCCGTGTTAGATATCATCATCATCATCTCACTTATGGGTGCTCCATTGCCTTTTTAATGCAATATTTACTGAAATTCAGTAACAGAGCAAACCTAGAAGCAATCCCCTCCCTTCACCCATGAATCACCCTCAACCGCAGCCACATTTCAGGGGTAGTGAATCTTCTAATTATACTTCTTTCATGAAGAAAGTGAGCATATTCTTTGTTACCCACATGTATTAATTCTTGCAAAAAGTATTATTTCCATTAACTTAGCTCTAGTGAGCTAATAAGTGATAAACTGTAAGTATTCTAGGTTAGCTGACACAATGCATTGCTGCATCAAGCGCCTGTGACAAGAAGACATTTGGTGCCAGATTTCCCCTCTTGTTTTTTTTCCTAGCCTACCTGAATAAATAAGCCTTCCCAGCTTCAGAAATGCAATTCCTAGAAAGTCAGGTTTGTTTCTGTGCAAAGTGCACTATTTAATCCATCGAAAGAGCTGATCTATGAAGAAAGTGCTGGTAGCTGGTTTGGGTGCTCAGATGATATGCATATAATAATGAGCTAAATTCTAGTACATTAGTTTGGGTAATGAGCTAAGGTCTGTGTTGGGCCATTAAACAAGGTGTCCTACTACCAAGCATTGAAACCCCCCCTTGCACTTGTGGAGCGGCGCTAGGCCAGACGGAGGTGAGCCGTGGGGATGACGGCAGCGGCTCCTCCATCTGACAAATGTCAGCTCTCCAGAGAGGAGTGGCGGAAAGAGGCAGTGTCCAGCCCCACACCGCGCTAAGGCGGCCCCGCAATTACACCGACAGAAGCAGAGTTTCCTGCCCCCTGCCCCAGCTCTCCCTGCAGGGCTGACCCCGGAGGCAGCAACTCCCAGCCGCAGGCGGCTGCAAAGCACCTGCCTTCCCCCGGCCAGGGCAGACAGGCACGAGTGTCTCCGCCCTGCTCCCAGCCACATCCGCGCGCAAAGGGAGCAGGCTGGGACCCCCGGTGCGTGTCCGGCGCAGGGCTGCACTGACCTGAGATGCCGCCCCCAACCACGATCACGTCGCATTTCTGGCTCATGGCGCTGCCTCGGCTCCCGCTCCCGGGCTCTGCGCGGCTGGGGCTCCCGGAGCAGCTGCCGCTCGCGTCTCCCTCGCTGCCCGCCGGAGTCTGACAGCGGCGCTCCCGGCTCCGCCCGCCGCCCAGTCAATGGCAGCGCGGGGGGGCGAGACGGGGCTGGGGAGCTGAGAACACGACCGGCGTGTCCCGTCCCCCCGCCTCAGGTTGCAAAGGGCAGGTGGGAGCCCGCCCACAGACCCCACTGCTCCCCCCCAGCAACCCCCTCTCTAACCGGGGGCTCTAACCTCTAAAGGGGGGGCGGCTGAAACACGCTGCTGTCCTGTCCCTTGGCTGGGGCACCTCATCTGCTGTAGCTATCAGGGATTTCCCTACACACACCCCTACGGGGTCGGGTGTATACCCCCCCTGAATTTTTCCAACAACCCCCCTCCCCCCAGTTTTGTGAACTAGTTACATGCAGAGTTGCCAATTTAGTGACTGTTTGGAAATTTGAATTGAAATTCAAACATTAATACATACTTTAAAAGCATATAAAGTGTATGATAAAATACATGTATCTGAAAAAGTATAATAGATTTGAAAAGTATGAACATAGACTAGCTTCCTTCTACAGCTGTTGTTTTTTAGGACAATGTCAGTGCATTCAGTTCGGTGATGGTGGCCAACCTAATAATTTCAAATGATCATTTGAAGGCGAAGTCTAAATGAGCTCTCCCTGACAGCTAGTGATGAGCTGGGGCTGGGGGGAAAAGCTTCAGGACCAGATTGGATTTACATTCACACCTAATCTACCTAGGTATCCAGCAAACAGAGCTGTGTTGCCCAGGTGATAGATTTTGGCTGGGGTTGGGTTACAAATCACTTGAATGCAGGGGAGGGGGGGGGAATAATGAAATGTTGTTGTTCTTATTGGATGAGTAAAGGGCAGTAGAACTGTACTTAGCCTGTGCTGATTGAGGGCAGGAAGAGAGAGGATGGGGACAGGTGTTTTGCTTGATGGTCTGCCTGAGTCACAAGTAATATTTGACCTGCCCCTCTCCACTGTTTAAAGACAGAGCTGATTAGGCTCCATAGATAGTCTTTTGTTTCGTTAAGTGACCACTACAACTGAAATCACTGATAATCAGGTCTAAATTCTTAGACCTGCTCTGGGACAGTGTTTCTGTGGTAGAGATGGCCCAGTCTGCACCAGCAGTGAGGTTCCCGCACTGAGAGCTCAGCTGAAATCACTGAGAGCTGGGTGGAACCTCAAGAGATCAATTCGCAGAGGTCACAGTGGCAGGTGGCAGCAGCAGGTGACAGCGCAGGGCCATTGGCAACAGAGTGATGGAGTGAACAGTGGCACAACGAACAATAGTGGCCAGAGCAAACAGCGAGCAGCTGGAGGAACACGCAAGGTGCCTTCTTGCCCCCCACCTGGGAGGTGAACTCATGTGAAAGTACCTCTGAACCTCCACTGACCAAGGACAACACTAGTTAGTGTTAATGAGGCTGTTAAGAATGCTGGAGACACAATACAGTTCATGTGAACAAACATGGCTGTGGCATCATACTTTCTCTTTAAGCAAGGGATACCACACACTACAAACTGCAGGCCAATGTTAAGTGCGCTGTCACTTGTTTATCCTGAAATTGAACACTGGTTCCAAACAAGACCAGCAAATGCTCACTATCTTTCTGCAAGAAACTCAACTGACTGGCTAGAAGCATGTGGTGCAACAGTGAAAGACTCAACAGTTGAAAAAGTAAAGAACTCTTTCACAACATTCAAAAAAAATTGAATACATGGCTGATGAATGCACCGATGCAAATGAGCATCAAGTATTAAGTTATTGTGTACATTATCTTGATGTCAGTGGTAGGCCAGTAGATGCATTTCTAGATGTTCAAGTTATAGAAGACACATCGGCTGCATCTGTGACAACCCACATCTTAGAAGAGTTAAATGCTTGTCAACTGGAGGCCAAACAGATGGCTGCTAGTGCATTTGATGGAGCTGTAAACTTCTCTGGAAGACATGGTGGAGTACAAGCTTTGCTCAGAGAAAAGTGTAACCCTAATCTCTCCTATACACACTGCAGAGGCCATCTACTCCAACTAGCACTAATACAAGCTGCAGACTCTTTAAAAGACATTAAAAAAAGCTATAAATGTAACGTCTTCATTATATTTTTTCAGCAAGAGTCCAAAAAGACTGAATATCTTGGAAAATATAGAAGATACACTGGGACTGAAGTTCAAATTAGTCCAACCTGGGAAAACCCTCTGGCTTTCTCTTGAGCGATCCTTGGCTGTTGTCTTAAAATTACTCCAGCCATTATTACTGGCTTTGGTAAATATCTACCAAGATGGGATGGATCTAAGTAGTGAAGCTGGTGGATTACTTTTGCTACTATGTTCAGAGAAGACTATGGCCATTCTCTCTCTTGTAAGTCTACAGTTGAAACCACTTGGGTCATTACACAATGCCATCCAGGCATCTGCTACAACAGTAGTAGATCTTTGTCCAGCAACAGAAGCTACATTTGGATCAATCAGAGAGCTATCCATTGAAAAAGTACTGGAAGAAGCAAAGACTTCAGTCAAGAAGTTGACTAATAAAGGCATTTATATTGAATCCTTAAGTGAAGAGGACAAGAAGTGTTAGTTAAGACAAATGAAAAAGTACAGAGACTTGATTCTTAAAAATTTAAGAAAGCGACTTCTAAATTCTACTCAACCTCTACATAGTTTTACAGATCCCTGTCCTATAAAACACTGACAGTTGAGTGGAGTGAGACACTACCAACAATGGGGCTGCTGTGTGCTCAGGACAGAATAGAGAATTTGAACATAGGGTGGAATATCATACGACAAATTAATGAAGATTTGACTTCAACTTCTTTTTTATCATCACTAGTGGCTTGACCTGATCTTTGTGCTATGTTTCCCAGGATGGAAGAAGTAGGAGTTCATCTCGTGCTACTCCCAGTCACAACAGCTACAGTTGAGCGTTCTTTTACATCATTGAATAGAATTTTCTGTTCGGAAAGAAGTCACTTTCTGCCTGATCATGTGAATGAACTAATGAGCATATTAATTGAAGGAATGGAAGTACCGGACACACAGAGAAGCCACCAAAGATGAACGCATTGCATTCAAGAAGTTTATTAGCGGAGTTGTGCAAAATTATAACAAGAAACCAAGAAGGATGTATATGTAGTGCTTCATAGAAGGCTTGAGTAGCCAACTTTAATTTGTGTGATGATTTTAAAACATGAGTTAAATCTAATAAAATGGTCATGAAACATTTTTTCAGTTTTTACTATGGTGCCATACAGCCCAACTTCACCCTTTGTGACAAAGTTCCTCCTCTACCTTGGTGGGTCCTGCGCTTATTGGTGGATTTGCTCCCTTCACAGATTCACCCTGTGGGTCAGAAAACAGTCCAGAGACCTTCCCCTCTGGTAGAAGCTATAGTCCAGGTCAATTCCTCCTGTGTTTGATCAGGAGTTGGGAGGTATGGGGGGAACCCGGGCCCGGCCTCTACTCCGGGTTCCAGCCCACGGCCCTGTGGACTGCAGCTGTTTAGAGTGCCTCCTGGTATAGTTGCACAACTCCGCTAATAAAC